TTTTATGTATCGGATAATGCATATCACCAATGATCAATGCGAGGCTCCTCCACGAACTAACTAACAACATCAATTGAAAAAGAGAGGTTCGGCCTTATAATGATGAGATAAATGAGTGTTCTGACCAATCAACTATATTTTTTGGATTCATCTGAGAAAGCTCCACCTTGACCTGCCATTAATTTTTATTTGGATGTATATGACTATGAATAGGTTGATATTTAGTCATGCCAATCTCTTCTAAAATATCCAAGACGTATTTCTTTTGTGATCAAAAAGCCTTCCTTTGAATGAGCTGCCTTAATACCAAGAAAGATAACATTTAAGAACATTTGTGCCCCTTTTTTATTAGAAAGATAACTAATAAATACACATTTAAGAACTTTAAGATCTAATTTACTGCTAGTAAGATTATGGTAGTGAATAAAAACATGTTGAAGTGAATAGGAATATTGTAAAAGTATTTCTCTTAATCATTATGGAGATATTGACAATATTTGTATCTTAATAATTCGCTATTTGGAACAAATAGGATCATAAAGTAAATGATGAAGAGAGGAGTAGAAAAATGAGGAATAACAGAATTTATTGGGTAAATCTGGCCATTATCAATGTAAAACTGTTTAGAGCCTTCATAAAGAACATTTTGGTGAATGTTCTGCTATCTGCTGTAATGTAACTGATAGGATATAATGGGTTTAGGATATGTTTTGTGTGTTCTTGAGAGAAAGAGAGGGTTGATCGACTTCTTGACTTCAAGAAGTCTATCAGTAACATGGAAGGAAGCACCAAAAGCTAAAAAACTAAGTGAAAGCTGAGTCACATTAGCTACCCAATACAATACTCACAAAGTATCTTATTATTAAACGATAATCTATCTATTTACATACACATATTTCTGATGCTGCATATTTATGTGTAATTTCTAAAACATTATATGTTTCTATTATTCAGATGTATAAAGGGTGAACCAACCATTGAAGAATACTATGATTTATATTCAGAAGCTGAGACATACAACAACCAAATATCAGAGGCAATTTTGCAGTCTCCTAGTGCCCAACAGTTTCTCAATAGGGGAAGAGTTGTAATTGTAAAATCAGAATCAGTGAGTTCTTATATTCATATTTTATGTTTTGCAGGTGTTGGAAATAGTAGTGGAAGTTAATATATAACATGAATCGAATGGGAATTAGAATTAATATGATTTGGAATGATTAGTCATTATTGTTGTTCTTGAAAATGTTAGGAATGTTAATTTATTCTTTTATGTATATGAATATTGACAGTGCTGAGTGCCACTAAGTAAATTCACGAATTCAGAGCTTATTAACTAATATTTGGCATCAGAGCACCCTCAGACCTCTCTTCTCAATCCTGGGTTTAGCCATGTAGTGCAGCGGATCATTTAATCCCTTAAAAAGTCTAACAGTAATGTCTCTGACACCTGGTCTAGTAGCTTCAAACAATTTTAATCAGCAAGTCCACCAAAATATCCCACCAAAACATAATTAGCTAGAGAAGCGAGAGATAGCAATACAAAGAAGCTCTGCGAAGGGAATATGATTTGCTCCTACAATTGATAATTCAGTTATTACAAATGTATCTAGGCATAACCCTCCATGGTTATTGTTCCCTTCTATATATATTTCTGCTGCCAGGTACTATTCATTTCCCTTCAGGTACTAATTGCCTGACTAACTTCCCCTCCTTCTAGTGTACACATTGAGTATTTTCCTCTTTTTGTCCCTGTTACGATCTAAGGTAGGGATAATGTTAGGGGTTGGAAAGTATATGAGAGGAGAAAGTATAGAAGGAGAAGGGGACCGAACGGTGAGAGAAGGGGACCGAACGGTGGAAGATGGGGAGAGACCAGGCCAAACGGTAGAAGGCAGGGAGCGACCAAGCCGAACGGTGGAAGGCGGGGAGCGACCAGGCTGAACGGTGGAAGGCGGGAAATATTTAGAAATAATTATAGTAAATAAGAATATATCTTAGGGAAATATTTTATTTAGAACAATATTCATATTTTATTCTAGGGAAAGATTTTATATTTATATTTTATTCTAGAGAAAGATTTTATTCTAGGGAAATATTTTATTCTAGGAAAATATCTTATTCTAAGGAAATATTTTATTTAGGAAATAATTAATATAAATAAAAGGGAGAGTCTAGGGTTAAAGGGAGGCTTTTGATTATTGAGTTTTGTGACAGACATTATTGTCTTGTGAGGGAGGTTATGCTCCCAAAGTAATTGAAGGAGGTTATGCTCCAAATTATTGTTTACCATTGTTTATTCAGATATTACCATCAATAAAAGAGATTCATTCATCCATTGTTATTAGTTTATTGTTCTATTACGTGTGTGAGAGTGTGAAAGGGTGTATTTGGCCAGTTTACGTACTCAGGTACGTAACAATTGGTCCGACCTGTCGGATCGTGGAAACTGCCGGATCCTAAAAGAGACGAGTGAAAGACATCATGGAGGGAAGAATGAATGCAGTTGAAGGGAAACTGGAGAGCATGGGGCAGAGACTAAAGAACATGGAGTTGTCCATAAGGAGGTTGAAGGCAGAGTTGGGTGGAATACGCCATGAAGTGCAACCTAGCTGGAAGAGGAGAGTAGATTTACCCGTTTTCGAAGGGTTTGACCCGTTGGGGTGGATCGCTAAGGCGGAGAAGTTCTTCGAGTGGCAACGTGTGACAGAGGAGGAAGTGCAGTTGGCGTACATTAGCATGGAGGGTAGCGCCGGATATTGGTTCAAATTCTGGAAGGAAAAGGCCAAGAATCGTTCGTGGGAAGGCCTGAAAGAAGCTATGATCTACAGGTTTGGAGACAAGAATAGGGGTGGCATTTCCGAGAGGGTGGCGGCTAGTAAGCAGTCAAGGATCGTGGAAGAATACGTCCAAGCTCCGAACGGGAAGGGACTGCTGGAACCGAACGATAGCGGACGGACGAATCCGAACATGAGAGGGCTGCCAAATCCGAACGGTAACAGACTGCTGGATCCGAACGTGAACGAGAGAGGACGACCAGAACCGAACGTGAGAAAACTGTCGGAACCGAATGTTGTAGTACTGGAAGGAAGAATGAAGGCTTTGGAAGGAAGAATGAAGGCTTTGGAAGGAAGGGCAAATGGAAGAATCAATGCCTTGGAGAGAACAATGGATTTTGTGAAGAGGTGGACTAGGGAAAAGAACAGGGGGCTTGCAGTTTTTGGTACACCGGCAAGAGGAAGAGAGCGACGTGAAGCACTGAAAGACATCGAAGACCATTCCCTTAGAGCTTATGATTTAGGAGGTGTGATAACCAGAATGCTGGACGAAGAATGGAAGACATTGGAGGTGGTTTTACCACCACCCAAACCTCCAGACATGAATTGATGAGGAGCCATGAGATCAAGCTCCCCGTTTCCAACCTTGAGGACAAGGTTGTTTTGCAGCGGGGTGTAATGTTACGATCTAAGGTAGGGGTAATAATAAGGGTTGGAAAGTATATGAGCAGAGAGAATATTTAGTATAAGTTAATTAGAGTAAATAAATATAGTATAAGTTAATTAGAGTAAATAAATATATATTTAGGGAAATATTCAATATAAGATATTTATAATTAAGGATATATGCTAGGATAATATACGGAGAGATATTTATATTAAATATAGGGATATTTATATTAAATATTAAATATAGGGATATTTATATTAAATATTAAATATAGGGATATTTATATTAAATATTAAATATAGGAATATTTATATTAAATATTAAATATAGGGATATTTATATTAAATATATTCTAGAGAAATATTTAATAATTGATGGGCGGGAAATAATTAGTATAAATAAAGTTAGAGTCTAGGGTTAAAGACATGCTTTTGATTATTGAGTTTTGTGACAGACATTATTGTCTTGTGAGGGAGGTTATGCTCTCAAAGTAATTGAAGGAGGTTATGCTCCCAATTATTATTTACCCTTGTTTATTCAGATATTACCATCAATAAAAGAGATTCATTCATCCATTGTTATTAGTTTATTGTTCTATTACGTGTGTGAGAGTGTGAAAGGGTGTATTTGGCTAGTTTACGTACTCAGGTACGTAACAGTCCCAAAGTACTTCCTCTGTGGAGGCAACTTTGTTCCCAAAGTCGAAGTCACGGAACATTAGGGGGGTATCCTTCCAAGCTGCTTCATGAGCTGGCTGATTTTGCCACTGAACTAGTATTTGTTCATATTGCTTGGCTTCACTACTGATATTGTTTGTGATTAACACCGGCTGAAGAATAAGCTCTTCTTACACCAGCTGAAGCTGAGGGAAGTGTTTGCTCTACATAGGGCTTCCTACTTCCTTTAACTGAGGCATGGAAGTTTGGGTGATCTAGGCCTTGTCTGGTAGCTGTGCCATTGGGAATTATGTCAGGGTTGTTGAAAATAATGGTAGAAACCAATGTGTCATTGGGATTTATGGGAGTTAATGTATCGTTGGAAGGATTAGAGTACCAGGAAATAGTTTAATTCTTTACTATTGTTCTTCTAAATTTAATATAACATGTGACATATTACTTATTACCTATCACATAATATATAGTATGTAATAATGTATTCATTTTGAGTACCAATCTGCAAAAAAATTCATAGACTACTCTTAATTATCATTTTAAATCTAATAGGTGATAACATTGAATTTTTAGCTGCACGAGAATATGATCAAGCGCCTATCTTAAAAGGATAGCTGACTGGTTTATGTAATTTTTCTCCAGAAAGAAAACTTCTGAAACGCCTGTATGCTTGATAAATATTTATGAAATTTGGCTGATCTATAATATCTTAACAGGGAGAAGGGACTGGTTTTTGTAATTTTATCTAGAAAAAAGAAATCCTGAAACACTTGTATGATTAAGTTGTGATAAATATTCATGAAACTTGTCTGATACGTAGTACTGAGATTGGCCAATAGTTTTGATGCCCAAATGTGCCAGTTTGATGACATGCAATGCCTTCATCATGAGCAGAAGCTTAAAGATTCTGAATGAAGGACTGCAGGCCTCAGCAATGGCTGAAAACAAGGAAACCAAATTCTGATTTGTGGAATGGAATTGAATGTCAGAGCTTGACAGTTTTGCAGAACTATTCTTATAAAATTCTAATTGCTTTGGGCTTTTTGGTCCTTAAAATTTCAGCCATAAATTTAACGATGTATTATTTGAGTTATAACACCCATCTTTTAGAATTTGAATCTTCGGAACAAAGTAATAGATGGTTAACCTGCATCGTAATTGATTTACAGGCGCAGGACCATTTGCTTGGAGTGGTTGTGAAAACTCCATCACCCAGTAATAAGACATATATTGTTTTCGTGATTAAACCTGAGATGCCATCCTTGATGCAAAGTGCCTCCAGTGGTGCTATGCAGAATAAAAGTGGGTCATTCGACCAAGGTTATTTTGTAATGCCAAAATCAAGACGTGGGCTTTTAGATGAATATAGTACATCTGTTTCTGCCCGCAAAGGAAAAGGTATCATCAACATCACAATGCCCTATTGTGGCTCTGCCAGTGGAATGGGTTATGAAGTTCGAGAAGTTGACAGTAAAGAGTTTCTGTGCATATGCAGTACCAAAATTAAAATTGACCCAGTTGGACTTCTTGAAGATGTTAGCAGCTCTGTTTATTCAAAGACTGTTCAGTTGCTTGTGGATTTGAAATCAGATGGAAATAAGTATCCTCCAGCTTTGGATCCCGTCAAAGGTATTACCATTTCTGTTAAATTATGAGTTATACTTTGAAACTTTATCCTATTTTATAAATAACAAGTGGGCCATGTTTTGGCCAAATTTAAAATGAAAAGAAGAATGTCAGATGTATAGGCAAGAGGAGACATGATAGAGTAATAGAAACAATTTTTCAATCAAGCGAGTTTGACAACACCTTCTAACCTGCAATATTGATGTTTCTAGAGTTGTGGTGTTACACATACTCAAGCTCCTTCGGGTGTAATAATTTTTTCTTTTATTCCAATACCTGGGTGTCCTGCTCTTATTTGAAAACCTTGTTTAATATTGCTTTTTCATCCAGAGCTGAAGTTAAGAGATGTGAAGCTTGTGGCAAAATACCAAAAGTGGACTAGATTATTGGAGAAGATGTCCCAGAATCAGTGTCATGGGTGTATAAAATTGGAAGAACACCTCAAATTGGCGAAGGAGATTAAAAAACATGAAGAAGAAGTCTATGCTCTTCAGTTTCAAATGTCAGATGAAGCACTTAAACAGATGCCTGACTTTCAGGGCCGGGTATAACATATTAATTAATTTTTGTTATGCTTGATTCTTGAAAAAATACTTTTGATTGTGCAAGTACTCAGTCTAATGGTGCCTTTGGTTGTTTTCGTTTTTCTCCTTCAGATAGATGTTCTGAAGAAAATTGAATGCATTGATGAAGACCTTGTTGTTCAAATGAAAGGTCGTGTTGCTTGTGAGATGAATTCTGGGGAGGAACTGATATGCACGGAGTGCTTGTTTGAGAACCAAATGGATGAACTGGAACCAGAAGAAGCAGTGGCGATAATGTCCGCTTTTGTGTTCCAACAGAGGAATACGTCTGAACCGTCACTCACACCCAAGCTCGCGGAAGCTAAACAAAGGTAACTTGCAATAGTCCATTTTTTTAAGTACTCCTGTAACACAAGCCAAGCAAGACCCTCAGTGATTATTTATATAACATACTAAATGGTATCGTTTAGTCTGCATTCCTCTATTTATATGGATTCTAACCTGGATGTATTTGTTAGATTGTACAAAACAGCTTTAAGACTTGGAGAGCTCCAAGCGCAATTTAATCTGCCAATAAACCCTGCTGAGTATGCCCAAGAAAATCTAAAATTTGGTCTTGTAGAAGTGGTTTATGAATGGGCAAAGGTATCCTGCCACAGAAAATAACTCACTGTTTAGTTTTATAGTTTCATCTTTAATTTCTCGGGTAGTGAATAAACCGTCTTTTTTAATGCAGGGTACTCCGTTTGCTGAAATATGTGAGCTTACTGATGTTCCTGAAGGCCTGATAGTAAGGACCATTGTCAGATTGGACGAGACATGTCGGGAATTCAAAAATGCTGCAGCAATAATGGGTAATTCTGCTATCTGCAAAAAAATGGAAATTGCTTCTAATGCAATAAAGCGTGACATTGTATTTGCGGCTAGCTTGTATATTACTGGTGTATGATCATTACTGAACATGCTGATTTTTTCGAGTTTAGAACAGATACTTGCATATTGAGTGATGCTTTGTATATAATTAATTCCTCGCATAAAATGTATGCTCCTTAATTGTGTATCTGGGCTTATCTTTTTGTAACTTTTATCTTATTTTACAATTGTTTTTAAAAAATTAGTTTTATTTTATTACTGTCAGTGACTTTGCGTCATCATTATGTTTTAGATAAGGATAATGATATTTTAACAACATTTTTTTGACAATATTTTAACATCATCTACGTGTATGACACATATCATTATGTGATTGGTCCAAAATTACTCCACAATCAATAATAATAATCATAAACACCAACATGGACCAATCACATAATGACACATAGATAGTGTTAAAATGTTGTCAAAAAATGTTGTCAAAAAATATTGTCAAAATATCATTATCTTTTATATAATTTAAACTTTTGTTTGTATGATATTTAATAAGGACATTTATTTATATTTGATGCTTTAGATAGTTTGGACATTTGTTGGTATGTTATTTAATAATGACATTTATTTATATTTTACATATATTATTTGTTATATAAAGTACTGCCATGAAGTGACAATTAGTTTTTCCATTTGTATGTAATTTTCTAATCTTCATCGATTTTGTAAAATCTTTTACATCAATGGAGGTTAATTGTTTTCGAATTCTACATAAACATTAAGTTGAACTGATATGGAATTTACTGGTGAGTGTATATTAACAAACTCAATCATTTTTTCAGGAGTACGTCAAAATTCTTACGTCAAAATTCTTATGTCAAAATGTTTGTAGCAATTATTAGTATACACCTATCTCTTAGTAGGAAAATGTTATTTGGACAACAAAAGTTTGACACAATTTTGACAACGGCGACGTGGCAGCTGTGCATTGGCTCAGTGAACCGGGGTGAGGGGTATTTTGGGTTTTTTCTGGTTTGTTTTCAATTCACTGAGCCAATGCACAGCTGCCACATCGCCGTTGTCAAAATTGTGTCAAACTTTTGTTGTCCAAATAACATTTTCCCTCTTAGTAATACCGGGGGAAACACGTTTTTGTCATCATTATTAAAAGGAAAATGATACTTGAACAACCATTTTTGACAACATTTAGACACGTGCACACGTGTCAAAATCTGAGTGGTCCAGTTGGAAAAATTAAATGAAAATGGACCACTCGGATTTTGACACGTGTGCGCGTGTCTAAATGTTGTCAAAAATGGTTGTTCAAGTATTATTTTCCTTATTAAAAAAGCTATTATTTTTTTAAAAAAAAGTTTCATAAAATATTATTTTATGTAGATATTTAATTGAGTTTAAAAATAATTATAAAATCTAAATAATAAAGTAAGAAAATGGGATATGTTGATAAGAATAGAATTAGTAATCAATTGTATGCTAATGTCTGTGACAAAAATTATTAATGGTTATAAATGTCAGTAAGTTATAAATTAATATTTATTTAATTACACTTGGGTTGTGAACTCATTTCAATTAGGAAAAATGGATGATAGTGTGTATAACGTATTTTAATAAAATATGTATGTTAATAAGTCAAGGTGGCGATTGATTATTTTTTAAATATTTCTGGTAAGTTAAATTCAACGTATTTTAAAGATGCAGGTTATATTAGAAAACTTATTATAAAACTGTGTGTGTGTATATATATAACATGAATTATAAATTTAGTGTTAGACTTTCGTTTTGAACGAAATTGGAAGACATTTTTATTTCTGCTGTATTATTTGTTGATAAAGAAAAACGTTACTATAATAAGAAAGAGTTACATCAGTAATCAAAAGGAATTACAATCTTGGAGTAAAATTTTAAAAAAATGTTATAAAACATTAAGTTGATATCAATTTTATACATCAGTATATATGTATAGATATAACATTCATGAGTTTCATACTTTACCAAGATACAAAATCAAACGTGATATGTAAAAAAGTAACAGAGGAGACTGCATTTAAATACTAAAGTATATAAATATGAAGATAAGGACTTTTAGTATTATTAAAAATAAAAAAAAATGAGATTTTCAATAAGAAGAGAAATAATATTAGTAGTTTTTAAATTATTTTATT